CCTCAATCCCTTCTCCTCCATTCTCCTCTCGGGATCTTGGGCACGCACGCACATGCACCCGGTGTGAGTTTTAAGTCACCGGGTCTGGGACGCAAACTTCTGTCAACTACGTGGGAGTCCAGCAACATAGCCATTACGCTAACTGCTTGTCCCAAGATTTGCTCTATTAAAACTATTAAATTGGCTGGCATATTTTTTTTTAACAATATCTACAGTAATTAAATGTAAAAATAATGGTTTTTTTTCTTAAAAGAGATGAAGTTTTTAGGAGAGAATAATATGGTAGACAACTGCAGACATTACCTCTCAGCTTTGCAGTATATGGTAAAAATTTAGCAGATACAAACTCATTAGAGAGCCAGGTTTCTGTCATAAGACAACATGTAAATATAACAAATATGTCTAATGTTAAACTAATGTGATACCCAATGGTCTCTGAAGCTCAAAGTAAATTTTCCTGAGTTGCTAATTGGATAATAGTTACAAATTGCAGGCTTTGTTGACAGAGAAACAGATTGTGTTAATTTTCTAGGCTGCTCCTTTATGTGTTGAGTTAAATCTTTGAAGCCATGTACAGAAAGATGAGGAATACTGTAGGGGCAGTTCTCAAGCAAGCATGAAGCTGCTCTGCTTCTGAAAAATTGATGAAAAAGAAAAGAGTAAGACCTGAACTGACTGTACTTAACATCAACTGTTTAATAGTACTTTGTTCCTTTCACTACTTTCCACAGTGTGGATATATAGCACACAATGTTTTTCATTCACCAGTTGAACTTTTGGGTTGTTTTGTTTTTGGCTAATATGACTGATGCTAGAGTCACATTTTCATTTCTCGATACTTAAGTATACGACTGCTGGGCGTTGACCTTACCTATAATACATACACACACACACTCACACACACACACACACACACACACACACACTTTATTCCTGGGAGAGAGCACATGTGTGTATACATCCTGCAAATGGGAAGGGCATTCTGGACTGTGTCTCATCACATCCCGTATCTCTTCTCATCAGGATCATAGGCATGCATGCACCTGGTGTGTTTCAGGTTCATTAGAGATCTGAACGTGTGGTTAGGCCATCTGGCTTCCAGCACTGTGGTTCAGTGTGCCACCCAGCTACACCATTGAGGCTGGGCTTACCTTTTACATTTTAAATTTTTAAAACCTCCAATACTAATAGATAATGAGAATAAACGTAATCTCTACATCTTGCCCTCATATATAACAAGATAATTAGCAAGCATATTAATGTTAATTCTCTACTTTCTTTCCTTTGTCCTTGCCACTTTTGCAGAGATCAACAGGGCTTTTTTTCCTTAAAGAATTATTTTTAAGGTTTTTACCATAGGGCATATATGCTCACCAGAGACAGGGAGAAACAGTGAGAGGGAAAGAAACCAACTCCCCGAGGTGGGGGGATGGCCATGCTGCAATCTCTTCATTCTTCTCCTGGGATCTTGGGCATGCATGCACACACATGTGCCTGGAATGAGTTTGAAGACATTGGATCAGGGACTTGAACCATAGCCATGTGGGAGTCCAGCACTTTAACTACCACACTACCTGCTGGCCACTAAAGGATTATTTACTAAGGCTGACAGGTGGCATGTTGGTTAAGGTACTGGACTCCCACATGGTTTACTGCAGTTCAAGTCCTGGACCAAGAGACTTGAAAATCATGCTGGGTGCTTGTGTGTGCATGTCTAAATCCCTGACGGGTAAATGGAGAAGGGGTTCTGGTGTGGCTACCTCTTCTTATGGTGTTTTCTCACTTTTCTCTCTCTCCGTCTCTCTCTCTCTCTCCAGCAAATGTACACGGCAAAAACCTTAAAACAAAAATTAAAAAGGGCTAGTAGTTGGGTAAAGACATTTTTTTAAAGCGTGCGTATGCTCACCAGAGACAGGGACAGAAAGGGAGAAATCACCCCCCAGGGGGAATAGCCACACCACAGTCCCTCCTTCTCTCTTCTCATTCTGGGATTCTGGGCATGCAAGCACATGAACCTGGCTTCAGTTTTAAGCCGCAGGTTCTGGGACTTGAACCACAATCAACTACATGAGAGTCCAGTGATGTAACCATTATGCCATCTGCTGTTCCCAGGTAAAGACTTATTCATGAGTGTGTATACATGTACATAAAGAAAGGTTTACACTTCACAGGGTCTCCTTATAATACAATCCTCCCCTCCCCTGGATTCTCCAGCTAGTCAGGATCCTAGGGTGTGTGTTCCCATCACAGTTCAGTCAATCAGGATGCAAACTCATAGGCGGCCATAATGGCTTCCAGCACTACAGTTAAGTATGCTACCCCTTGTACTGTTAAGGATAGGCTCTGAATAGTTTTAGGCTTGACTACAGAACATATTTGGACAGACAACCAAAAGGGTTACAGCAAACCCAAGGGAGAATGTTCTGCTCTTCCCTGGGTAGCCACTTCATTTTTCTTTCTGTAGACCGATGAGCTTGCAAGTCTCATGTCATCACCCAATGCCTCATATTTACATATTACAGGTCTAACTACATAGAAAGGACTCAGTCCTGATTCCTTATTACTGTAAAAAGTTCTCTGATATGTTCAGCTTGGGTTAGTTGCCCAGACAGATAACACAGTACAAAATGAACAGAGGGGATTATCTCGATTTTACCCTTTAGAAAGATGAAGTTCAACTATGTAACTTCATGGATCACAAAACTTTTTTTTTTTTTTTTTTGAGAGGTTTTTGCTATAGGGTGCATGCGCTCACCAGAAAGACACAGAGAGACAGAAAGCGAGAAATTACCCCCGAGGGGGGATGGCCACGCCACAATCCCTTCTCCTCCATTCTCCTCTTGGGATCTTAGGCATGCACACACATGTGCCCGGCATGAGTTTAAGGCACTGGGTCCAGGGCTTGAACTACAGTCAACTACATGGGAGTCCAGTGACACAGCCATTATGCCAACTGCTGGTCCCCCAATCACAAAACTTTTAAGAGTAGCTTCAAATTTTGAAAATGGGTCTGTTAGATGCTCATATACTTTATCACAACATCCTTGGAGCTATTTTGCTCAGAACAAACCTAAGTCAGAGATGTGATAGCATTGTTAAATATTAGAATAGGATTTAGACCTTTGGCTTATAAATAGGATCATTTAGAGAAATATTTCCCCTCAGGTATAGGAAGAAAAAACATTCTAAGAAATATGCCTAACAGAAATGTTTGTATCTTGAGTACTCTGTCATTATGTATTTCAAGTTATGTTACACCATACAAATAAATCATGTGGTATGAATATTAAGAAAATGAAAACATATGACAACTTGGACTTTGTTTAAAAATAGCTTATTTTTGATCATTTAAAGTATGGAAAACAAAAACATCAAGTAAGGATATAGACCATTAAGCATACACTTAAGTGTCAAAAAACACCATTAAATCTAGGGCTAGTGGGGAGCATGGTAGTTAAGGTGCTGGGCTCCCACATTACCAACTGCAGTTTGATTCCTGGACAGGTGGCTTGCTTTCTCACTTTCCTTCTTTCTGTGTCTTTTTCTCGGGTCAATTTAAAAAATAATAATATCAGGGACCAGCAGGTGGCATGGTGGTTAAGGCTCTGGACACTCCTACATGGTCGACTGTAGCTTGAGTCCTGGACCCGGTGGCTTGCTTTCTTGCTTTTCCTCTCTCTCTCTCGTCAAATTAAAATAAATGAATGAATAAAATTAAATAAATAATTCTTTAAAAAAAGTAAATAAAATTAAATAATTCCTTTTTATTAAGAATTATTTTTAATGTTATTTAATTTTACCAGAGAGGGACAGAGAAAGCGAGCAAGAGAGAAAGCAAGAAAGCCAGCCATCAGGTCTGGGACTCAAAATGCAGTTGGCCGTGTGGGAATCCAGCATCCCCCACCTGCTTGCCCAATAAATAATTGTTTTTTTTTTTTTTTTTGGGGTTTTTGTTATAGGGGGCGTGCGCTTGCCAGATAGAGAGAAACA